TGGGTAAAAAAAAATTTCATCATTAGACGATCTGAATCCATTCACCAACGCTGGGAACACCTTTGTAGACGGCGAAGAGAAGGTAGTAACCAGGTGGTGCAACGTTTCCACTGGGAGGTGCAACCGTCTGGACTTCAAAAGAACCGGCACCAGCAGGGTTAACACCACCGACACCCAACAAAAGCATCCTCATGTTCATGGAGATACTGTGAGTTGTAAAGGATGGTGCCAACATGTGAAGCTTAAGACTCTTCTTAGTCACGTCCTTCTGGTTAAGGTTGACCTTCACGTTGAAGTTCTTTCCGTATCTGATCTGTTTTGGTGACGTGGCGATCTTAGGCCTCAAGGTGGCTAGTGCCGGGTCGAGGTAAGGTGGTGAGAATTTCTCAACGCGAAGCTCCGTAGGGAACTCAACGTTGAACTTGTAACCGTCGTTGGTGTTGCTTCCAGCGACGAGAACCTTACCGTCGGGGATAGCGATGGCAACGGAGTGGTACATACGTGGGATGTTGGTGGCTGCGAGCTCTCTGAAACGCTTGCCACGGGCGGCACGTGGCTTGTATAAGGTGGGAGAGAAGTTAGGGTCTTTACCGTAGCCCCATCCTGAACATCCACGTTTACCTCCGTTGACTAAGAGTATGTCTCCGTTAGGGAGGATAACAGTGTCACTCATGACTCTTGGTGTTGGCATCGTCTCTATCTTCCATCTTGGCCTAGCGCTGTTGATTCTGATCCTTGCACAGTCTTGTAGTGCTGGTTCGAATACCTACGTGACCGCAAAAATAAATCAACATTTTGACTTGGTCCAAAATGCTTATAAATTTCGGTTCCAACAATATATACTCTCCCTATTTCATATTAGATAATAATCTACTTAAAAATCACATATATTGAGGATTTTTTTAAATGTAATATTACAAGTATGATTTTTATTTTTTAGTTCTAGATATAACTAGTTATAGATATTTTGATAAAATTAAATTAATTAGATATGTGAAAAATTGTCTATTATAAAAGAACAAAAATCATCTAAAACTATATATTGAAACGGAGAGAGTACCTTCTTGCTGGCACGGTAATAAGCGTCGTGTTTGGTTCCACCGCAGACTAAGACCTCAGCAGGGATGACTTTAGGGTTTTTCATGTAAAGATGGATGGGGAGGAGAGCTGAGGAGCCTGATCCAGGGTAGTTACGGGAACCACCTGGGAGCTGAGGGAACTCCTTGATGACTTGGTTTGTTTTAGGGCTAAGAAGGATGGATCTGTTGTTAGCGAAGATGAAGAGGTTACCATCGGTGTTAAGCCATACGAAAGGGTAGAGATTGTTCTCTTCTGGGTCATCTGTTTGCTTTAGAAGCAATGAGTCGTAAAGCTTCCTGTTGTTTTGTCCTTCCTCAGGGATGTACTCGTAGTTCATGGCGTCACGTCCTCCAATAATGAAGAATTTGCCGTCAGGGAGAGTTGCTTGTGTTGAGTACCATCTCTTGGCAGCCAAAGCTTGAGGGTATTCATGCCATTGGCAGTCTGGACAAGCCGCTAGGTACCTAGCTGTGTTGGCTCCTCCTCCATATCCTCCAGTGCTCACCATTGTTCCGTTGACGGTCAAACCTCCAGACGAGCACCATGTATCAGTGGCAAGCTATATCATGAAAAAAAAAATGTGAATAAAAATGTTTAATAAAAGTAGAAAATATATTTATTTTTTTTGCTAACCAAAAAGTCCAAATTATATACTAGATATTATGTATGTGAAAGGGAAAATGATACATACGGATAGAGGCTTAATGGCACCGTTGTTGACATCAACGAGAACCGAATGAGCCCAACAATCGATCTTGTTGGTCTTGGCGTTGACGACGTGACATGGAACACCGGGAGGTAGCTTGATCTGTGAGATTCTCCAGATGGTTGCGTCATAGAATTGGACCTGGTTGATGAGTGGCATCAGACCAGCATGCATGGCTGACACACCTGAGTTTTCCAAGAACAACTCCCACTTTCCAGGCCAGTTTGTCTGAGCTTCTACAGCACCTCCTGATCTCCTGATTTTTCCACCGGCAGCCACTGGTTTAGCAACCTCCACAGCTTCGTTGTCGTGAAAGCCGTTGTTGAAGCCAGGGAGGAAAGGAAGAAATGGTAGAGGGAAGATGGCGTCAGACACAGCCGCTAGCATAAGGACAGAAACTGTCCATATGACTCTTGTTGAGGCTCTCATTTTGTAATTTTTTTAGATTTTTATTTTATTTTTTTATTCTTCCCCTGTTTTAGTTGGGGAGATGAGGAATTATGATCCCAGGCTTATTTAAATTATGAATGCCTGAGTAGTAAGTTTTTGTCTCAGCGTCTTTTATAGTTTTATGTAATTGTGTTTATTTTTGGCGTTTGCTATTTTTAAACGTGTGGTAAGAAGTCGTCTTCTATAAACAACTTCTGGTTTTGTGGAGAGTCTTTAATTATATAAAAAGATTTAAGTTTCATGTCTGGCTCTTCTGCTCTTTTAGAATTGTGGTCTTGCAGACAGTATAATAGATAGGGTAATTTCTTAATTAGATACAGCGACAGCTAAAAACTATTTCCTTTTATTTCTTGGTCTTTGAACCTTTAACAACCAAGAAAAAAAACAATTTTACTGAATTTGAAATGGTTGGATTTTTCAAATTCATGTTTAACTCTATTCCTTAACGTGGTATTGTTTATTTTGGACTGATGTGATAAAATTCACGTGAATTGTTTTTTTCTGGCTTATTTCCCAAAGTCTTATTATTAATTAGAATGTGACGTTAGTTATTTATAAATTTTGTTGTCCATTTGATCTAGAATTTGGATTAATAATCCAATAGAAACTGAAGTCATCACATATGAAAATGTAAATGAATGAGGCCGCGTCTACGTGTAGAATAATATGACGATGTTATACTGTTATGGACTATGGAACGGATGCATGAATGTACAACTTGTACTCAGGTGTACAAGTGTGGTAAAGAAGGATTTCGTTTCATGCGCACTGCAGTGCGCCAAAATTACCGAGTCATTAGTCCATGAAAACAATAATATGCATCATTTATTCCTAACTTTCCAAACCAGAAAAGATGTTGTTCACGCAAAATCTACATAGAAACATCCAACTATATTCAGTGGGACTTCACTTTATGTTTCAAGTTTGCTACTTTATTTTTAAAGGTAAAAGTATAAGCATTACAAGCATGTGATCACTCTTTCTTATGGGAAGGAGATGAGAATCACGGCCTATTTGGGTAAAGCTTACGAGAAAATAATAAATCTAAGGAAACCGTTTTAAAAGTGTGATTGTTTTCGTTCATATCTGATTCAAAATAAAAACTTTTGTATACATATAAATTATTATTTTCGCTTTTTTTTTTGTCATGTACTCACCTATATATGTGCAACTAACTTGAAGACGCATTGTCCACACAATATAGTTTTTTCAGTGCTCTGGATTAAGACATTTTACCACAAATTATGAGTAGAGTTTCAGGGTCGGCTCAAGGCCTCGATCGGGAAGTCTTCAGTGCCAATTTGATCTTAAAAGTTAGAAATCTTAAAGAAGTACCGTTTACTCTATTGATCTTATAATATATACAAGTGTACAATCTAATGATTAGGGATACACGAGCAGGTAATATGAATATCAAGATATTAGTGGACGTAATAATACAAAACAACTACCTTGTAGCCACTTTTCTTGATGAAAATTTACTGATATTAGAGCAGACTCGTTGATAGGATAGTTTTCAAAAAACATTCTAATAAGAAAGTAATGAACAAAAATTAAGCGAGTTGAGAACGTTAGTTCAATAGTTGCTCAGGTGCGATATGTGGTTGGACATATTCTTAGAACATAATAAATTGAAAGATTCATCTCCCTTTAACGAAAATTTGTACTTTGCAGCCTAATTTGAGTAAAAGAGAGACAAGAGGCCAAACAACAAAATGGATCGTCCTTGCTTTTAAGTTCCATATCACATATTAACAAATATTTGGTTCACAACTTACAAGCCTCCATGAAGCCATTTAGTTTGCAGAGAGAAAACAAGAATAAAGTTGTGGTTTTGGATTCGGCTTTACATTATAAGCTTTTATATAATGATGGAGATAGATATATTACAAATCAGCTCTCACTTGTTGCTCCTGACTCCACAGATCTGCATGCAATGTAGACGAGAACCAATCGTTAATAAAACAATGCCAACCATCCAACCCCTGAAATGTTGAGACCTAAGAAAAGTAATCTACACAAATATTTAGGTTCCTAACGTAGCCCCCAAGGCATCGCTGTATCAATACACACATTCAAGTTTTCATGACCAATCAAATAATGGTTACAAAAACCAACATTTGGATCCCTTGAAAAGCTAGCAACTAGACTATTATTATAACCTTTTTTTTTTAACACCAAAAGCTTATATTAAATTCAAAGGTCTAGCAGATTAATTCGGTTACAACCGGAGAGATTTTCGACGGCAAACAGAAAAACAAAAATAACTGAAATATAACTAGAGATAGATGTGGCTAAGGAGAGAAAAGACCCATAGAAAAACTTCACTTGTAATCTGCGTTCGAAGGAACGTAACGAAGTCGAAAACGACGTTGAAGAACCCAACAATTGGGTTAAGAGAGCGTGAAGTCCGTGAATCTCCATAGAAGATAGCAGCTCCGGTGAAAGGGTCACGAAACCGACTTTGTGAAGAACCACGAAACCGACTTTGTGAAGAACCATTGATGCTTGAGACGAAATTGGAATCGCAGCGGTGACATAGTAGCGATCAGATTTGGCGACTATTATTATAACCTCAGATGTCAAATTCCAGACAACTAATGAAACAGATAAAATTGACAAATAGAACAAAAACCCTATAACAAACAAACACACATAAACATCTCAAACAAAGATACTAAACCCTACGATATTAGCATCAAACAGAGCAATGTTCTTGAGGAAATCAGAGAAGAATGTTACAACCTTTACCTCGTGAAACGAATCAAGAAGAAGCTCGAGTTCCTTCGCAATCAAGACTCTCGTCGAAATTCTTCGAAGGGTACTTGGCGGTCACGACACCAACCTCGAAGACAAGACTATCCCCAGCGGATCGAATCCCGGTGATAGACCACCACTGATAAAACGCCCTGACACGAATCCCACGGAGCTCAGCGATCTGACCATGCGTGATCCGACCCGTTACCTTGTCCGAATAAGTCGCGAGGTAGTTATCTGGTGGAAGCGTGATTTTGCATGTGCCGTGGAGGAGAAGGGAGAAGTCTCCGGAGGTTTTGTTGATGTAGTAGTCCTTTACGGATAGAGGAAGCAGCCCTATTGGAAAGCCATAACTCGTGAGCTCCGCGTGGGCCCGACTCGGTGCTTTGACTTTTGGGTTTGGATCTTGTAGGGAGAGAGGTAGGAGGACGAGGAAGGAGAGAAGGACGAGAGATATCTTCATGCTGTTCGCTGAGAAAACTAAAAAGCTTCAAATCCACGGAAACTTTTTAGCAAGAGTCCTCTGTTTTTGTTTGTCTTGTTTTTATTTGGGAGACTTGGTTTTGTCTTTTTTTTTTTTTGTTGACTTTGAATTAGATTTTTGTACAATTATCTATGTTACTAATTTAGCAGAATAATATAGAATTAACCTACATATTACTTATAAATTATGCTACTAAAATTTAAAATATTTCTTTTTAAAATAATATTTTCAAACTAAATTTTATTATATACATTATTTTCTATTAATATATTAGTTATTTTTGTTCATATTACTATATTTTGATATTGTCAAATACACTAATTTTTATTATAAATATGTTATTTTAATGGATAATAATTTTTAATAATGTTAAATTAATAAAAATATAAAACTTATTTTAAAAAATAATACAATTAGTATAAAAATTCATAGAAAACATAAAAATATATCTTTGTGAGACCATTTTTTTCTTCAAAATACCTATTTAAAATGAATAACAGTTTTAGTATTTTAATATAACTATATAATTTTAATCAAATAAAATTTATAAAAATCTATTTATTTTCTTTTTTCACAAGTGCATGGGGTAACTATGAAAATTATTAAAAAAAAGTCTACATATCTTCATCAGGGAATAGCTCATCTTTAAGAGAAGGAGCAATCCACTGAATCTGAATATAAGTAATCTCCCAAAGATCATCATCCTCCTTCTGCACCAAAATCTCCTTCTCCTTCATCGTCCCAATCATTATAGTCAAAAGCTCAGGCACCACTTCTTGAAGCTTATTATCCCCATACTCACCCAAATCCGCCTTCATACACGTGTCCATCCTCCTCAAAACCCCTAACCAAAACGTCCTAAACTCAGCACTCCCAACAATCTGCTCCAAGTAATGCAAAAACACGTTCTTAAGCATCTTCATCGCTATCTTCAACGTCCCTTCCATGCTCCTCATCTCTCTCTCCGCGTTCTCACGCCTCGAATAGTCCAATAACTTCTCATGCAAGTCATCTATCGTTGGAAACACAACGTGGTCTATACAGTAGATGCAACCTGATGGTGTGAATCCAAGATCCTCGTGCGCCATGATGAAGCTTCTCTCTAGTGATGTCACTGCTCTGTTGCGTATCTCCTCGCGTCGTGCTAGTGTTGTTTTTCTAAAAGCTTCGGAGAGTTTGAGGAAGAGGTGGTGAACGAAGTTGACTCCTCTCAAACTGTTCTCGTCCACTGATGATGAGCTGCTTGTGTTGCTTGCGACGCTGAAGTTGTTTACTGTCTCTGTTGAAGCGGTTTTGTACCATTGTATCAGCATTGTAACTGAATCTGTCATGAGGTCTAGTATCGTTAAGTTCTTCTCCACAGCACTGTTTCTCAACGCGACGAAGCTGAAGGAGCAGTCTATGCAGTAAGCGTAGGTTGACTGGGAGAGATGTGATGCGTTAGTGGACATAAGACCGATGAGAGCATCTACAGCTAACTCTTTAGTTTCAGGATGTCTCCCACATAAAGAGAGAAGCTGCAAAACGCTTTTCCAACCGATCTGAGTTTGGAGACTAGCTGAGTGTTCTGTAATAATCTTGCTGACAAATTCTGTTATTGTGTCATAACATGTGTCTATAATCTCTTTATCTATCTTCCACATGATTGTTATGGATCTGAAAATCAGCTCCTCTGGTAACTGGTCTTGGAGGTTAGAGGCAAGAATCTTAATGCAGACTTTAAACAAACCAGGGATGCCTTTTTCCACAAAGGGAATAGGTGAGAAGAGAGGGAAGTTTGCTACGTTGAGTAGATACTCATGGTAGCTAGGCCAGAACATGCTGAACCTGTGGATGTTGGATAAGGCCACAGCTATGATCAAGTCCCAACAGAATTTTACAGTCTCTTCTTCCTCTATAGCTGTGCTGAACTTTTGTCCTTTCCCAGCAGCTGCGTAGATTAAAGAACGGCCTAGGTTTAAGACAGCCACATCAGGTAACACTGAGCTTTTGCTGAATATTTGACCTATTCTGCATTGTTTTATGACTTTAAGATTCTGCTCAAACTCACTCATCCCAAGAGCTACAGATTCTTCAACGCTGTCTAACGCTAAAAAGTGTGAGAATCTACCCATTAGGCTAGACCCTTGTCTTCTGTTGAATTTATTTTCTTGGCTCGCAAGCATGTTTAGGTCAGTTTCTGATAACGTTTCTTCATCCGTTGTCTCAAACTCGATCGCAGACTGCGGAAGAAGCTGAAGCTTTCTTAGCTTCAGTAAACAATCCACAATGTTCCTCCACCCTCCTCTAATGGAATCTCCAAAGTTGTTAGCAAGCGTGAAAACCGCAAGAGTAGCCATTCTAGGTTTCATATCATGACTAAACGCAAACAAAGTCTCTTCAGGTGTGGTGTAAGGGTTTAGCAACGTTGTGAATTTGCAAAAAGAAGCGATTAGTTCATCAAGAATGTCTTCAAGACCGTACTGTGCAACTCTTGCTATAGAGATCAAAGCGTCAACACACTCATGAAGCACTTCGTCATCATCTGAATGCTCAAAGAAGGCCGAAACAGCAGCTATAGATGGACCTGCGATGGTTGCAAACATGTCTCTTCCTATTCTCCTATCGAACTGACACATACTCAAAGGTTGTGTAGTCTTTGTTCTGTTCATCAGCTCAATCCATCTGTTAGGGTTCATCTCCACTGGACCTGAATGTGTCGATAAGGCGAATGCGTTTGTTGAAATGGATTGGAACAGCTCTGAGAGATACTCTCTTGGAAGATCTTTTCCAGCATTGATGGCTCTGTTGTTGCGGATAAACTCATCTTCATTCATTTTCTTCTTAACCTGAGGGTTGTGCTGATCTGTGTTGAGCATGATAAGTGAGTAGCATAGAATATGAACAGTATCTTTACTTGCAAAGATCTCTGATGACTGTTGATCATAGAATCTCTCAGAGAAAGCTTCAATCATACGTTCAATCTTTTGAGACTCTCCTGGTAACCGGAAAGATTCCAAGAATGTTCTTAAAGCGGTGTCAAGATTCATGCCTATGAACTCAAATGTATGTGTAAAGCTTTTGAGAACACTGAGATGTAACTCATCAGGATCTCCAAGGTAATCTCCAATCATTGTCTTATCCAAACCTGGTGTGAATCTGAAGAAAGAAGCTAATGCCATTGGATCAGGAGGGTCTGAGACTAAGTGGTTATATTTCAAATACTCCAAACCCTTCTTTTCATCTCTGTTGAAATGGTTAGCAGCTATAGCTAGCTTCCTCTTCTGTGCTTTCCTTACTCTTATATGTTCCACCCATGTCTCAAAATCCTCTTTGGGCTTCTCTATCCAAAAGGGTATGTACTCATTAATCTCAACAGGGCTTGGCTTAATGGTGTTGGAGTCTTCTTCCTCTCCTTCATCTTCCTCTCTGTCCATATTGTCTGCTATGTTGTGAATCAAGATCACAAGACCTTCAAAGGCTTGGATTTGCATTGAGGTTAAAGGACCAGATGTAGGGAAAGTATGTCTGCATAGAACTTTTCCTGTCTCTTCAAAAACATTCCTACATATTGGATCACAATCATAGTTCACATATGCTTCAACTATGAAGGCAGGTTGTCTACAAAAATTGATTAGTCCTTCAAGAGCCACTTCTTGTAACTGAAGGAAGCCTGTGAAAGCTGTAACTTTTAGCAACACAAAGGAGAAGAAAGCTTCAAGTTGTAGCCTCACAAACCTAATAAAGAAAGAACATTGTATTAGCATTTAGGTTTTACGTGTAAGACAAGAAACAGAGGACTTAAAACAAAGACATTGTTTTAGCATCTAGGTTTTTACTTGTAAGACAAGAAACATAAGACTTAAAAGAAAGACATTGTTTTAGCTTTTTTAGGTTTACTTGTAAGACAAGAAACAGATAAGACTTACTTGCGGAGGAAGTGATAGATGTTAAGTATACAACTAGAGATCATAGAGAGCACAAGAGGGCTTGAAGAAGCTCCATAATGGATCAAATGATGAAACAGATCGTCTTGAACCATTCTAAGAAGCTTTGGATGTTGCCCTATAGCATCACCACTTAACTCAATGGCGCTGTTGATTAAGACCAAAGCGAAAATCTGCACATCCTCGTCTGCGGTGTGGACACTTGTCCCTTCCGAGTTCTCGACAACCTCAACAACATTGAGCAAAGAACATAAGAAATGAAAAATGTCGATGCAACAACGTATTCCATATCCGCTGCTCATGTCGATTTCGTCGGTGTCAGACTCTGAATCTTCACCACCTTCTTCTCCTCTAACGTCAAAGTCAGGTAACCTAGAGAAGATGATTTGAATCAGTTCGTGCATTGTGTAACGTCCATTACGTTGGAGAAGATCTCCTCTACCAGCAGATTGTTGCACCACTTGGAAACATGTGTTGACGATTGTGCAAACCGCTTGGTCTTCTAGTAACTCCTGTGTTAATTCACATATTTATTAGAAAACTCTGATCTAAAAGATTAAACATTTTTTAAGTCGAAAATTTTAAAGTCGAACTTATGCATATTTCGGTTTTCGTTTGAACCAAAGATAAATTTTTGGGTCCTATTCGATTCTCATCCAGTTCTAGTTTCCGATAATTTCGAATATTTTTTATTAACAATTCAGATAATTTTAAATATTTTGGACACATGTGTAAATCTGTTTTTTCCGGTAATTCAGTTTTTCCGATAGTTCAATTTATAACTAATATTTTAAAAATATTTTATAATTTCAAACTAAATATAATTAATATTTTAGATATATAACTCTATTTTGGATGTCTGAAAATTAATTCGGTTTCGGTCTGGTTTTAATATTTTGGTTTTAGAGATGTAAGAATTGTTGGGATATTTATGAGCATTGGGTTTGGACTTGATTTTTTTGTTAGTTTTTTTTATTCTCAGTTTATATGCATGCATTTAGTTCGTTACCAAAGTGAAAATTTATTCATTCATTAATCAAAAAAAAAACAAAAAACAAAAAAAAAAAGCAAAAGACAAACGAACCGAGGCTGGATGTTTCATGACTCCGGTCAAAACCTGAAGGATCCTCATCATCACTGCATCTTCAGATATCGAATCTGTCTTCTCAAGACGACAACTAGTGATCCCGGAGACAATAGAGTTCATAGCATCTCTAGCACCAGGACTTTTCTCATCAAAGATTTCAATCTTAAGAATCTTCAAGATTGAAGACAGGGCCACCGCTGTGGCACTTGCAGGGATCTCGTCGCTTTGAATGACTTCAAGGAAAGGAGAGAGGTAAACCGAAGGATCTATGGTGCGCCATTCTTGCTGAGGGTTGAAGATAAGAGCTCTCAAAGATTTGAGAGATTGTTGGACTGATGAATCACAATGGTCTGTTTCTTGGGGAGAAAGGTAACTTTCTGAGATGGGTCTACGTATCACAGCAAGGACTGCACCAACCTCTGTGTTAAGCATGCATGATATCCCTAGCTCTTTCCGCTTTGCTTTCACCACGGATCTCTCCATATTACCTTACCACACTCTTGTTACCGACAAGGAAGAAAAAAACATTTGGAAACTTTTTTCTTATTTATCTTGTCTCTGTACGGTCTTGCCTTGGTTAGTGCAAACACATAAACTATATTTGGAATGTATGTTTTAGTGGCTGAGACTTAGTAATGGGTGATTTTAATTTCAACCACTTGTCTTCACATATCAAGGAAAACTTCATCATCCACCGTCAATTTCTCTATGGCTAAATATAGTGCTAATGGAAGCTAGAAATGCAAACTCAAAATTAAGACATATTATTTGGATTAAACCTAGGTTAAATATGTTTATTTGAACTCTATTGTTAATAAACTATTGAAGAATGAGAGGAAATTCGTAACGTTATTGTAGTGTATTATTTTGAAGGGTGGGGGGGGGGAATTGGTAAAATTATTTTATGATAAGAAAATAGTTTATTATTTTGATAAAAAAAAAAACTCTTCCAAATACAGATTAAGTGCAACTTTATCATTTAAAAATAAATATACAGATGTATAATTTATTCCTACATTACTTTTAAATTTTCTAATAGCTGTTTTCATAAATGGATTATCGAATAAACATGTTCACTTGGAGTATTGGAATGATATATCAGATAAAGAGATATAAACAATTTATATGGATAAACACTAACCACAATTTTGATAGAAATCTACTATTAATAAAAGGAACATATAATCAACAGAGAAGATGTACACGTCACCGAAAATAATTAGCCAATAGGATCGCTGCCTTTCACCACGTCATCACACAAAAGTCGGATGATTGGGCTCTTATCAAATTAGGTCCCCTTAAGCCCATCTACCCGAAACCCTATTACCCCATTCTCTCTCGCGAGTCCCTCTCTGTTTTTTCTCTGGTTCTTTTCCGTTTCATCTTCTCAAATGAAGCCGATCCATCGCCTCCATTGCGTCTCTCCATCTCTGTGAAATGATTCATGCATTTATTGGTTCGTTTCGCCTTCCTCCCATCTCTTTAAATCTGATTTTTTCTCATAATTTTCTATACTCTCAAACTTACGATGAATTTGAACAGAAAAACCACCGTCTCCGGCGATCTTAGCTCCAAGCAACCAAACGGAAATGATGGAGCCGAGCCGATTAAACATGGTGGCAAATCCGGTGCTTCCTCCGCCAAGCCGATGAAACGACTGCTGCCTCCTTCGCCGTACCGATCAAAAGATACATGGTCACGGAGTAAGCGATGTGAAATATTTTGATAATATATTTGCAAGCTTCCACATGTCCAGAGGGATATTATATATTAGTATATTGCAAATCTCATTGATTCTCAGACAAAATTGGTGGTACTTCGATTAAATCTTTTTTTCGTCAAATAAATTCATTATGTAAGAATCAGACATTAGTACACAAGACATCTGCTTTATTGTTTTATGTTTGGCTAATCTGTTTCATTATATTGCTAAAATGTGAAATGTGAGTAATTTGATGTGTGTATTCATTTTTGGTAGATAATTGGAGTGTGAAGGCAATCCGTAGAAAGACGACCGGAACTGGAAGGACGAGGTATCTTCACAATGTGCCTCGCAGGTTCAAGACTGGTTTCAGAGAAGGTAACTTCTTGAATCATTCTTCACTATCTTATGTTTCTTTACCATTCACCAGATTGAATAGTGTATGTTTGTAATCTAACTGGTGCATCTTTCTCTTGCTTAGGTACCGAAGCTAAGCCAAGGAACAAGGGTGCAGCTTCATCCGCTTAAACATTTGTTTGAGTGCTCGCAGGAAGAGAGTTGGTTGGGGGTACTTTCACCCTGCAGTTGAGGCTATCCCCATTTAACTTCTCCTCATTCCTTCACCATTTCCAGGATATCTGACTGGAAACAGCGTCCACCAATGCCAAACGTTTCCGAAGGTGTAAGTTTAACCAATAGTTTGAAACAGTTCTATGTTTATTGTTTATGTTGTTTATTTTTTTAAATGGTGCTTTAGCAATGGTAACAACCCAGGAGATGACATGACCGGAGCTAGAGCAGTGGCTACTAAGCCCTCAGAAACCGTCACCAAAGTTCCCCCTGCATGATGCAGCTGCTCAAAGAGGCGTCCATCATGCAACTGTTGCCGGTGAAGTAACTGATGAGGAAGCAGGAGTGCAGGAGGATAGCATTGGAAAAACACTCAATTCTTAGTTTTCTAGCTTAGCGAGTGGCAAAGTCTATAAAGGATTAGAATAATGGTTTAGGATTTCATTGTTTATTGAATCTTTTCATTGCTGGGGTTTTTACATTTTGTTATCGTGGCTTGGTCACTACGTTTCCTAGGTCAAATTTTACTTGCCCTGCAACCCAGCTAGAGAACAGATGCTTGCTTATAGATCTTTTTTATTTACCAATGTTTTCGTATACAACAACTCTTGCATCTTACACTGAAGAAAAACTCTTGCATCTTACACTGAAGAAAAACTCTTGCTTCGAATAAGTAAAGTCCCCCAGAATAATAAGATGATCAAATTTGTAAAGTACACGAGAATATTGCCACTATTGAATATGTAATAATAACAAAAATATATGCCTTTGACTTTACCACTCAAACTCTTTATGATTTTGTGTCACTCATTTTTATCTATTGTTCGTAAAGTGAGCTCTTTATGAACCGTAGCATTTTTTCTAAGATATACGCCAAGAAAGTATTAATACATAATAACATAAAATTGATGCCATTTAAAAAAATAACTATATACACACTTATATACTATCACAAAACAAAATATGCCCGACTTACTATTAAAGATGTTACTAAAATGAATAAATCCGCCTCAGTTAACCTGTCCCATTTGAAACTCATCCCATTTACATTCTAAATCGTTTAGCGAATATAACACTAAGATACATTTCATAATAATATATTTAACCTGTAATACAATCATTTCATAGTATACACGCACATTTTCTTCATTATGAACAACAAAGAAAGCATATATTAAATCTATACTACAAATATAAGCTCCCCCTTTTCATGTCACCCCAATGTTTTTTCCATTAAATTCCAACATATGAAGATCTACAACCCAAAAAACAACCAACTTAAACAACGCTCCGCGAGTATATTTAGTGTATCCCGGTTTATTTAATGTTGCAAGAAGCAAAATAGTGTTGTCCACATTTCATTAAAATAAGATTATTGAAAACTAAAAAAGAGAGTACATTCTGACATAAGTAACCTGGTTGAGGAAGAGTTGGTGACGGCAAAGTAATAAGCACAAACAGTAAGTGTGGAGAGGGAATGAGGTGGATGAGAAGAGAGGGGACACCACAAGAGAAGCTGGAGACTCATAAAGATGGAGGAGCCGACTCTCATCTCAAAACAGACGCAAAATATGGTGGAGGTTGTGAGTGGCCTACACATCAATTTCAATTTCTTGAATAACCATAAATTTTTTTTTTTGCTAAAATGTTAATATCATTAGAAATGAAAAAAAGCTTACAAAAAAAGAAGTTCTAAAGGAATGTTTCCTAGGCAAAAAAATTAACCATAAATTTGAACGGGCCATTTTGTAAACATAAACAAATACACTTTGTAAACCCGTTTTTTGTAAACTAATTATTCTCACCATCTCTCAAACTCACTTATACTCCATCAATTGGTCCACCAACAATCATCTTATCGCAAACATATTCAGAAACTAAGAACGTCAAACACAATCAATACATTCAAATACAAACCTAACTAACAAACAAATAACGCGTACAAAAGAAAGTAATTTCAAACAAAAAAATAAACCAACAAATTCGGTTTAAGAACCGGTTACTCACTAAAACTGATATTTTTCATTATATTTTATATTATTTTTGAAGTTTTTATTTTATTTCTATATCATTTTAGCTTCAAACAATGATAAAAAATCTTTAAAATAATTTTATAATTATACATATATATATAGATACTTAACTTAAAATTAAATTACATTTACAACCCAGTTAAACTTGTGTGACCATTGACCTAACTGTAATGTCAAGTTAAATATCGGTTTGGTATTCAAAACATTGATGGCAAACATAAATTAATATCATCCAGTTTATAAATAAATAGGATAAAATAAAAATTATTTATAACAAAAATATATACAGTCTTAAATTTATATAGTATCATTTTAAATTTAAATGAAATTCAATTTATTTTATATACTTAATTTTCAGATTTTGATAGTGGTTATCTTTTACCAACATTTTGAAGATAGAAAATATAAAACTACAGATTAAAATATTACAGTAATTAATATGTAAGTTATTTATACCAAAAATAAAATGAAGGTTCTGTTAGAAAAAACTAAAAAATCTATATTTTGTAAAAGAAATTGTTCATTATTAATAATTTTTTTTATGAAACTCTTAATTATATTAACTATAATGATTTTGTAAGTCCTTATTTTTCTATTTAATTTAACACTATATTGTTTTTGTTTTATATTACAAGTTTAATTATACAATATATTATATATATAAAAAATATGACTATAAATTTTATTTACAAGATTAGCCGCGCGTAGCGCGGCCAAAAGATCTAGTAAAATATAATATGTAATGGAATAAGTTTAGTTCACATACTTCTTTCCAATTTTGAATATTTGATCATTTGGATAAAATTCAATTTATCATTTGGGTAATTCGTCAGTGCACATAGTCGGTCACGGTTGCTTCCATCTAGCTTTACTTTTACGCTGAAAAGAGTAACTCTTCCACATGTTCGCAACCTGTGATGCTATACTGAATATAAATCTCACTCTGTTATTAGGTTTCTTGAAGGAAAAGTTAATACCTTGGCAAAAATGAGTGATTCTCACCTCAAGATTTGTTATTTTAATGTTTAATTAAGGCGAAGGTTTGTGATTTTGATGTTTAAGACCAAGTTTAGTTTTGTTTGTAGATTTGGTTTCTGACAACGTCGCCACTATTTAATTTAATTAGAATGTTTTTTTATATTATAATTATAGAAAAAGGTAAAAAGAATTTTTCTACAATATTTATAAAACTATACCAATTTGTACAACAAACTGTTATAGTTGCATTATGTTGAAAATTTTGTATAAGATAAATAATATTTTTCAAGAAACAAAACTTCAAATTTCTTATTATAGATATTAATTAACCTTTCGATGTATCCTTTCTATTTTCATATTTCACATTATTACATCCATTTGTTGTTTGATTAAAACAAAACAGTCATAAACAAACAATTAATTGGAGAAATTTCAATTCGACCATAAATTTGATATAATTATTAAAATTTACCATTAATAAATAATTATTTTCATAAATACCTTAAATTTAGGGATGTCAAAATGAGCTGTAGCTCATGAGCTAGCTCAGTTCAGCTCAATTTTTCATGAGCATGATCTAAGTTTTTAGGATCATTTAATAAATGAGTCTAATGATCGAGCTTAAAATAGATCACAAGTTATATAATCGATATTTAATGATCATGAGCTAACTCATGAGTTTAGTCATTTTTATATATAAATAAATAAATATATATATATATATATATATATATTTTTTTTTTCTTATGTAACAAAATATAATTTCTATATTAGTCGTATTAATATTGTAAAGTTAAAATGTAAAATCAGAAATTTATAAATTTACAAAAATGTAGAAGAATATTGATATCAATCCTCATATCATATATCTTTAGAATTAAACCTAAAAAAAATATTCCTAAGATTCTCATGCAAAATATATATTATTCTGATTTAAATAGATGGAGACTTTGAACATGAATAATCTCAAGACTCTTATATGGAATAAATTTTCAGATCATTGATTTAGATTTCATTTAATTTATTATTAGTTGTTATATTTATATAGTATTTAATATTAATGTTTTTGGTTAATTTTGAATTATATCATGAAAATTATTTTATTTTATAATTTTTTTTATATTTGATCGCGAGTTAGCTCATTTAATTCATGATCGATATGATCTAAACTCGAGTTTACACATTGAAACTCATATATTAAACGAGCTGAGCTGAGTTAGCTCATGAAATATCCGAACTCACTGTGAACTGAGCTGAGTTGAGCGAGCTAACTCATTTTTACACCCCTACCTAAATTTATGATAAAATTGTATTAAACTAATTTTTTAAATATTTATAGAATATTTATAAACTCAACATTTCAATTCTTTAATATTAAATCCTAAACAATAATTATTAAAATCTAAACTCAAATACTAATAATTTTTTGATTGATAATATTTTTGAAAAGTGATAGCTAACTTGTAGTATTTTTTAACAATTTCTTCAATTAAATTGACCAGATCCGAAATCCAACGAAAAAAAATTAGTACGGAACCGGGTCGGGTTACTAACTGAAAAATATCAAAAAATCCGAATCATCATCATCTTCTACCCCTGAATCAAAAAACCCTAGCTGAGCTCTTCTTCTTCCTAACCTAACAATCTCTCCTCAACTCAATTTCTCGCGCCGATTGCGAGAGATTACAATGCATGTCCACGAAGAACACGATGTTCACTTCTCTTCATCTTCCATCAGAATCAACCCCTCTCCTCACGACCATTCTCTCCTCTCCAATCTCCAATCCTGCTCCAAAACCTTATCCTCTCACCTCTCCAACACTCGTCTCTCACTCACCCGAATCCTCCACTCCTTCAAAACTCGCCACACCTCAACCCAAACTCGTCGCCGCAATTCACCCACTCAGATTCTCAATTCAATCACACAGCTCATGATCGGCAACAACAACAGCAAGTCTCCTCTACTCTCACTCTCCCTTATCCACTCCACAAATTCAATTAGGTCTGAGAATAACGAGCCAGCCACGGGACTAAGCTCGCCGCTGCTCTGCTGCGCTTCTCTGTCGCTAACTCAGGATGTGATACAACAGCAGCAGCAGCAGGTGGTTCAGAAAGGTCACTCATCGCGTTCCGCGGAGGAGGAGAGGGTTTTGATTAGTGAGGTGTTGGTGAGGACGAAGGATGGGGAGGAGCTTGAGAGGAAGGATTTGGAAGTGGAGGCGTTGGCGGCGTTGAAGGCGTGTAGAGCTAATTCGGCGTTGACGGTTAGAGAGGTGCAGGAGGATGTGCATAGGATTATAGAGAGTGGGTATTTTTGTTCTTGTACTCCTGTTGCTGTTGATACACGTGATGGGATACGGTTGATGTTTCAGGTATATATATGCATTATGATTAATAAAAAGAGTGTCTTTTTTTATGTTTTTGGGATGTGAATAATTCTTGTTTCTTTTTTTTTGGCATAAGGTAGAACCAAACCAAGAGTTTCGTGGGTTGGTATGTGAAAACGCGAATGTTCTTCCTTCAAAGTTCATACAGGAAGCTTTTCAAGATGGATTTGGTACGTGTCCTCTGATTTTGCTTGTTTTTTTCTTCTGTTATAATGTGCTTATGAGTAAGTTCATCTCTCTTTGAGGGTAAATTGGATTCATGATACTGGAACCTGACAAAATTTCGTGTAGTGATAAAGCCAAAATTTTGTACAAAACATGGTTGAGTGTTAGCCTTGAGTGGAGAAGATAGAATATGGGTAGGTAGTGTAACCGAAATGTTTTCTTGCTCCGCAAATTATGATTGCAACCTGTTATCAGGATTCAGGAATATTAGTGCTGTGAACCCGAACATATTATATTCATTTGAAGTTGCTCTCAGCTTACTTGTAAATGCATCAAGGCTAATTAGTTGGGATCTTCTGTTTAATTGGCTAAGGTAATTGTTAGTGAATTGTGGTGTGAAGTTTTGTAGGGAAAGTGATTAATATCAAGAGACTGGAGGAAGCTATCACATCCATCAATGGCTGGTACATGGAGCGTGGTCTTTTCGGAATTGTAAGATTTTGTACATCATAATTATTTTCCAGAAAATGTAATTTACATCGTGGATTCAATCGCTGTCTGGTTTTTAATAATCTTCATTGTGTTGTCTACCCTTGCAGGTTTCTGATGTTGATACGCTTTCCGGAGGTATAGTAAGGCTTCAAGTTGCTGAAGCAGAGGTTAATAACATATCTATCCGATTCCTTGATCGTAAGACGTAAGTTGGCACCAATCCCTCCCTTTTTTTAATGAAATTAATATTGGTTTGAATTGTCCTTTTATGTAAATTATTACATTAGGATTTTCATTTGGTAATGGTGTCTTCTATGTTTAGTGGCGAACCAACTAAAGGGAAGACAAGGGTTGAGACAATACTACGGCAGCTTACAACAAAGAAGGGACAGGTATTTTTTGGACTCTCTCAGCTTAGATGTAAAGATAAGCCGGTAGCTAGAACTTCATAGTTTACCTCGGCTGTTAGAAACCACTTCTAATGATATCATCTATTATGGAAATCCTATAGAAATCTTATCTTGTATTATGTTTGATCACTCTCTGTGGTGTTATATTGTAATAAAATTCTTCAGTTGACAAAAACTGAAAACTACGTTGCAAACTTTGGCGTAAATATTTCTTTGCGTGACCCTCCAAGATGCTGTGGACCTTTACATATATATCTTGCTAATCTGGCCTTTAATCGCTGTAGGTCTACAGCATGCTTCAAGGGAAGAGGGATGAAGACACTGTGCTAGCCATGGGAATCATGGAAGATGTTAGTATTATTCCTCAACCTGCAGGTGGTGAGTGAATATATTCCTCGATGTAGCTAGTGGTTTTTGTTGAATGTATTATCACTCTGTGCTTAAGGTGCAGTAGCATGAGTGGAGAAAATGAATGCCTTAACTTATCCGTCAGCCACATTAACAACATGTTTTAAAACTTGTAGTATAGCTGAAACTTTCTACTCTGCCTTGTTTTTCCTTGGAAATATTAGATAGTGGAAAGGTTGATTTGATCATGAACTGTGTCGAGCGTCCCAGTGGAGGCTTCTCTGCTGGTGGTGGGATATCTAGTGGGTACGTTTAGTTAACTACATACAGCGTTTCACTTTTTATTTTTTTTAGTGACTTGACGAAAAGTTTGTTTATTTCTTATTTGTAGAATCACGAGTGGCCCCCTATCAGGACTAATTGGAAGGTAAAATCATGTGACATTGCTGTCTTCTGTAGCATAAAATCTGTATATACTATTTGTGACGATTCATTTTTAGCTGTGGCCCAAGGTGGGTTTATTTAGTAAAGACATTACTGATGCAATTGAAGTAATTATCTCATGCAGCTTCGCTTACTCCCACCGCAATATATTTGGAAGAAATCAGAAGTTTAACGTTTCCTTAGAGAGGGGTCAAATTGACTCTATCTTTCGTATAAACTACACTGATCCATGGATTGAAGGAGATGACAAGAGGACATCCAGATCTATTATGGTTCAGGTAAAACCTTTACTGTTTCTGCTTCTTTTATTTATCTCAGTGAAAATGCTAAGTTTACTAATAGACTAACTGGCTTCATATTGCGTTAGAATTCAAGAACACCAGGGAATCTTGTTCACGGCAATCAACCAGACAATGGTAGTCTGACAATTGGTCGGGTTACAGCAGGTATTGAGTACAGTCGGCCATTCAGGCCAAAGTGGAATGGTACTGCTGGTCTTATATTTCAGGTATCTAGTGCCCTCTATATTTTCAAGTCTTTTTGGTACACATTCAACGGATCTTACACAGTTTCTTTGTTTACCTGACTCCCATTTTCGTTGTAATTTTAATGTTCCAGCATGCTGGTGCTCGTGATGAGCAAGGGAACCCTATCATTAAGGACTTCTACAGTAGCCCTCTAACCGCAAGGTATATATATGTTCCAAAGAGTTGTGCTCATTGTCTCCACCAATGCTATATTTGGCCCATTTGAATTTAATACATCCAACTTTTATGTTTGCTCGTGTAGCGGTAAGACCCATGACGAAACCTTGCTCGCTAAATTCGAAAGCATTTATACTGGCTCAGGTGAACATGGATCAACAATGGTCAGTCCCAATCCTCTCTTGGTAGTTACATTGCCCTCTTCTCTTCTTGTACGCTTAAACACTATCTGTATTTCTATACCAGTTTGCGTTTAACATGGAACAAGGGCTTCCTGTTTTGCCCGAATGGTTATTTTTCAATCGAGTGAATGCTCGTACCAGGAAAGGCATAAACATTGGACCAGCTAGTTTTCTATTTAGGTATGCTAACCTCCTTGCAGCATAACATTTTCCTCTCTGGGATTCTAATCACCATTTCTCAAGTTGTATATAGCTTTATCTTACCTTGTTCATGTTTACAGTTTGTCAGGCGGACATGTGGTGGGAAACTTCTCACCTCATGAAGCATTCGCCATCGGTGGAACAAACAGTGTAAGAGGTTACGAAGAAGGCGCTGTAGGATCTGGTCGATCATATGTAGTTGGTTCAGGGGAAGTCTCTTTCCCAATGGTGAGACTTTTCTCTTATATTCGCAAAGATCTCGCTTCCCAATCATGTGAATGTTATGACTCTCACTCTTGCTCTTCTTTTTTTTGTAGAGAGGACCTGTAGAGGGCGTCCTTTTTACGGATTATGGTACTGATCTGGCATCAGGACAAAAGGTCCCAGGTGCAGTACAGACTAGGCTTTTGTTTTTTTTGCTTGTAAAAGTTTTAGAATCTCTCACAAGTGACCATCATCTTTGTTAATTTTATGTCACTTTAGGTGATCCTGCGGGGGCTAGGCTGAAGCCTGGAAGTGGTTACGGGTATGGTTTTGGGGTGCGTGTTGATTCTCCATTGGGGCCTCTACGTCTTGAATATGCCTTCAACGATAAGCACACCGGAAGGTTTCACTTTGGTGTTGGCCAACGGACCTAAACTTATTACCAGTCTCATTTGCTTTTATCTTTTGTTTCTAATTATGTTTTTTTTTTGCTCTTTGTCGTACATTCATCTGTATGAATTTTGTTCATTTATCTTATCTCATGAGTTAACTCACTTGTCTTATGTAGATGTTACTCATTTTAGAAAACTCCGTGATTCATTTAAAAAGCAAAGATATTTTAATGAAAATTTTCTGTTATAATGTACATGATATGTTTGTCCATGAAAACATCCTTGCAAGTTGCAAGGGTTCCATAATGTTATGGTATCTTGAGGAATAGACTCAATAGAGAGCTCCAATCTTAATGATAGAATAGAGATGAAACTGAAGGAATTTTCAACCATTAACCTTTGTTACAACAATCTGTAGACTTTGTTACAACAATCTGTAGACTTTGTTACATGATTCTACAAACATAAAAAATATTTTTGGGTTATAGAATGGCCTTGTAGTGCCATCCAAACAGAACCGAGGCCATTAAGACAAAATCATGAGACATAAAAGTTGCAAAATTTTCTTTATGTACTAGAGTTATTATTATTTACATTATGTGAAATATTAATATTATGATAATTTTATCATATGATATATATGTATCTTATCCCCTTATCAGATACAATGAATATTACATAATATATTTTCTAATTCTACATTATTCAAACATATTTTTTGAATGTAAACGGACTTCGGACTGGATTCAGCGAATCAAATATTATCTAACAAGTCGACATTTTGATAAAACGAAACAGCAACCGCCTATCGGCTGTATAATTATCGAAATAAATCATAGCTTTATTTATTTGTATATTTTGGTTGGATTTTCTTTAAAGATTACATTTTGAACTTTTAATTTTACAATTACTTTACCTTTTTCACTACAGTATTTTTTGTAAGTGATAATATATTGTTATACTGATGATGTATTTTTGATATTTTAGAATAATGTCAAATTCATGGCAAGTCACCTTATTGACTTCCTAGAAAATGTTTGTTTGTCCATTAACTGGACCTTGACTCAATCAATTCCTCTTTTTTTTCTGCCAAAAAAACTTGGGTCAATTTGCGTAAAGCTAGTAACACAACTCCAGTCATTTAGGAGTAAACTTGGTTAAAAAAAAATCCTTAAAAAAAGAAAATAATTCGTTTATTTTATTTGGTAAAGAACGTAACAAACTTCATGTATTTACTCCCCCATTTTCTGAGAGAGAAATACTATTGTACGTTAATTATCCTTTAGAAAAATCAAATGATATATCTTCAGTCTTGTAGCTAACGCTAACAACCTTTATTAAAGGAGAGTTGTTGTCATCTTAAAACAATTAATTTTTTTCCTTGTCATTATCATGAAAGGCCAATTAAACCTAACCCTATCTATATATATACGAAAGAAAGAAACGCTTCTTCACTACTTGTAGCTTGCCATTATTGTTAGATATTCATCTGGCTCTCGGTGTTGTGCGGAGTTAAAGACGTACTTCCTTTCAGGTTGATCAACGCGAGAAAAGTTACATAACACTAATCCTTCAAACATAAATGACAAAAGGTGTTTCTAGTTTTCCTTCGTTGAAACTGTTTCTTTGGCCTGTTCTCGTTCTCGACACATCTTCTTCTCCTTCTCCGGAGATTGATCTCCGAAAAAGGTTATATTCTGATTCATATATGATACATATCTAATTGTGTAATTATATTCATTCGAATATAATGGTCGAGATCGATGCTTTAAACTCACAGATCTTGCCGCTATATTAGAAGTTTTTTACCCTTAGGCGCATTTAATCATACATAGGCATTGATTCACTCATTTGTGGTGAGCTCCATGCATAAATATAAAAAACTATCAAGTTTGTGGTGTTATATATCATGGTGTTCTTGTTTGTAATTGTTTTAATAATCACATATTAATTTCGCAGATACCTTAAATGGCCGCTATGGATCCGAGAAATAATGGCTACGTTGCTCCGCTAAATGTACGTAAATAAATACTCACTCCTTTTCAAAATATATGTATCTATTTTAGACTTTTTCAGTTTTAGGAATTCTTTCTAAGTTTTCTTAAGGTAAGAACGTATAAAAAAGAACCAAGTTCAAGAATTATACTGCTTTTGTAGGGATTAAAATAATGATATCTATTAGCTAGTTGCTTTGGGATATACATAAATATGTTTAACTTGAGGAATGTGACATTATCTTAAGGAGCAGGAGAGAGATGAAGATTTTGAAGTTGTTGAGGTGGTAGACGTTCTAGATAACCAAAGTGTGGTATCTCTCAAGTCCAACGATTCTGACCTAAAGAAGAAAACTAATGATGATGAGACAAAGGAGAAAGGTGGCTGGACCAACGCACTTATTTTACTAGGTACACTTTCCATGTCATACTTTTTTGACCTACATAAATTTTTATAACTAAATCTTACATACTTTGACCAAGAAAAAAACATGTTCACATTCTATTGTTGTTACTGTCTTCTTTGTGTTTCTATCCTTTGACAGGAAACCAAGGACTAGCTACATTAGCCTTCTTTGGTGTGGGAGTGAACCTGGTTCTGTTTCTAACGCGTGTTATGGGACAAGGCAATGCAGAAGCTGCTAACAACGTAAGCAAGTGGACAGGAACAGTTTACATGTTTTCACTTGTGGGTGCATTTCTCAGCGACTCTTATTGGGGTCGTTACTTGACATGCACTATCTTCCAAATCATCTTCGTCCTCGGTGTGAGCCTCCTCTCTTTCACTTCTTGGTTCTTCTTGATCAAACCTAAAGGTTGTGGCGATGGAAACGATGCATGCAACCCACCCTCTTCCCTCGGCGTTGGTATCTTTTATCTATCCGTCTATCTCGTAGCGTTTGGATACGGAGGTCACCAGCCAACTCTGGCTACTTTCGGTGCAGACCAGTTTAATGATAATGATAAAACCTCCAAAGCTGCGTTTTTCAGCTACTTCTACTTTGCACTCAACGTTGGATCTCTCTTTTCAAACACAATCCTTGTTTACTTTGAGGATAGAGGGTTGTGGACTGAAGGGTTCTTGGTGTCACTTGGCTCTGCGATTATCGCATTGGTGGCGTTTCTTGGCCCGACAAAACGTTATCGCTATGTCAAGCCTTGTGGGAACCCTTTACCACGTGTGGCTCAAGTGTTTGTAGCTACTGCTAGGAAGTGGAGTGTTGTTCGGCCTGAAAACCACCAGGAGTTGTATGAAGTTGAAGGTCCTGAATCAGCTATTAAAGGAAGTAGAAAGATATTTCACAGTACCAAGTTTGTTTTCTTGGATAGAGCAGCAGTGATTACAGATGATGACAGGTAATAAACCATAAACTTACACATACTCAGGGCCTAATTTTTTTAAAAAAATTAAACAGTTTAGTAAAACTTTGTTAAATTTTATTTTTTACAATTTTAGGAGCGTATATTATAAGATAGATTAACTTGATTTTTTTTGGAGATCAAAGACTAAGGTTTCACTCGCTTTGCATCTTCAAATATAATTGATTTTTTAACTTTACAAATTAGTTAAAAAAAATTAACAATTGGGAGGCATATATATGTTTATATATATTAACTCGAAATATTTTTTTAGGGTTAAAGATTCTTTTTTTAGGACTATAGGATTTTTGGAGGCCGTTGGATTTTTTTTTTTTTAAATAATGTTTCACTTAACTATACTTAAAGACCTGCTCTGCTTAGAATTCAAATATTTTTGTCATTTTTGACTTTTGATTATCTTTTGACCCCTATAGGAATGAGGAGAGGAACAATGCATGGAGATTATGCAGTGTAACACAAGTAGAAGAAGCAAAATGCGTTATGAAGATGCTACCAATATGGCTATGCACTATAATCTACTCAGTGATATTCACACAAATGGCTTCACTATTCGTGGAGCAAGGTGACGTGATGAATGCACAAATTGGTAAATTCCACATCCCAGCGGCTAGCATGTCAGTCTTCGACATATGCAGCGTCCTAATATCAACAGGAATCTACCGCCACGTTATATTCCCATACGTGAGACCCACGGAACTTATGCGCATGGGTGTAGGTCTAATCATAGGGATAATGGCAATGGTGGCCGCAGGATTAACAGAGATCCAACGGCTGAAACGCATCGTCCCGGGGCAAGATGAGAGTGAGCTTACCATTTTATGGCAAATACCACAATATGTTCTTGTGGGAGCGAGTGAAGTGTTCATGTACGTTGGACAGTTAGAGTTTTTCAATGGACAGTCACCAGATGGTTTAAAGAATTTAGGAAGCTCGTTGTGTATGGCTTCTATGGCGTTGGGTAACTACGTAAGTAGTTTGATGGTGAATATTGTTATGGCTATAACTGCGAGAGGGAAGAGTCATGGGTGGATACCTGAAGATTTAAATGAAGGTCATATGGATAGGTTTTATTTTTTAATTGCGGTATTAGCTTCCATTGATTTCGTGTTTTATTTGGTATTTGCCAAGTGGTATCAGCCCATAAGCCATGATGAAGATAGCATCAAGGGAACTGGTGTGAAACGGAAGGTTATCTCAGAGTTGGACCAAGTTTAATTTATCTTTTCTATTAAGACTTTTGTTTTTTTTTAGCAAGTAAGAAGGTGTTTTTTTTTCTTCTTTTTCAGTTGAATAATTCTTAGGGAACAATATTTGTTGTTTTCTTATAGTTTCAAATGCTTGTTAGGGATAATGAATGATAATATATAGTTGTTACCTGATTCTTCCTTTCAAGATAATGCTTTGTTATTTTTATTTAGACGTCAAAATATCATTTTATTACTCAAAATTTAATGTGGTCCAGTAAATAAAACAATAAAAATATATTTATATTCAGAAATCTAAGAGGTTGTTGAAAAATTGTATTGGCTTTTAGATATTTCACTAAACGAAACTTGACCCTCCTGTTTCAGTCATGTGCATGGTTTATAAAATAAAAAAATATATATTTATATTCAGAAATCTAAGAGGTTGTTGAAAAATTGTATTAGCTTTTAGATATTTCAGCTATACTCATGTAAACTAAAATTGACCCTCCTGTTTCAATCATGTGCATGGTTTTTAAAATAAAAAGCTGATTATTTTTAGGATTAGTATAATCTCATTCTGATTTAACCAAATTCGGTTCATGATAACAATAAAAATACAGAGATAAGGATACGACAAAAGATTAACTGAAATAAACACTAAAGCGAGATTAAGGTTGAACATAGTACTTTAGTAAAACATGTTAAAAGGATAAAAAAAACATAGATTAAGGAGAGAACAAAGTGGCATAAATTTCCAAAAACACTTGAACTATGACACTGTGATGTTGAAGAGAGTTTAACGAAAGAAAACACTGAAGAAGCTTTTGTAACTCAGCCGCTGCAAATATCTGTCTCTCAACGATCATCTCCACCATCGATGTCCTAAAATCCTCGTACGGATCCTCCGACTTCTTCACCACCGCAAAACTCTCTCCCTTGGAAGACTCAGAGGAGAAGCTTCTAGAAGAAAAGAGGGTATCTCTATCATCACTCTCTTCTTCTTCGTCTTCGCTACAAGACCAGCACCAAGACCCACTTGACTTGAAACGAGAGGCGAGGAGAGAGTCAGAACCGAACTGAGATGATCTTTGCTTCCTCTTTGTCTTAATGTTTTTCCTTAAGTCTCGAAAGGAACGGCTTCCTTCGTAGAAAGGGTTTGGTGGGAACGCAGAGAACGTGTTAGGCTTAGGTTTGTGACGGTCCACGCGTGGTGTTTTGGGTTTGGGTTCGGTAAGGAAGAATCTGTCAGAAGAGGTTGTGAGGCTCGCAACAGCAGAAGTGTCGACGACGTCGTGTAGGTCTCGTGGTCGGCAAGAGCTTAGAGATGACCGGACTATTCTTGGAACCTTGAGCCTCATTCTTTTCTCCATGTTAGAGAATATCGATGTAAGGAAAATGACTATTGAACAAGATGTATTAAAGGAGGAGTGTCATATATAATATAAGACTTTTGAAGAGGATGTAATAAATTCTCTGTTATTTTTTTTTATTTTTTTTTTATTTTTTTTTTGTTTTGGTTTGTATATTTCGTAATATTAATGATAATTAAATGATTACAACTTTTTACGTTTACTTACATTCTGCAATGTCTTTTGTCTTTTCTTTGTCGTCTTTAACTTAAACTATTGGAATAGCTGACACCAAAAACATACCGTTGGAATTTCCTTCTTGCTCTTTTCTTTTTGTTTTGATTTTGCGCATAGACACTTGAAGACTTGACCCTTCTTTGCTCGTTTAAAAAAACTTGTATAAAATATTGTAATTTTGAATTTTTTTACATAAAATGTGGTTTGTAATGTTTGTCATGTAGTAAAAGTCAGTTCTCTTTAGCTTTTCGAAATCCTTATCGTGAGGCAATTTTAAAAGTTTATAGTATGTTGTAACAAGGAGAAACGTTCTCTTTAGTTTTCATTATTATGTTTCTTGTATTTCTCATGTTGTATTTTGTATTATTGTTTTTTCTTTTGTTAAATATATTATGTGTATGATAAAATTGAAGTTGCAAAAATTACAATGTATTTTAAACATTCACAATTGAAACTTTATCCCCATAGTTCGTGCATCGGTTATTGAAACTTGCTTGAGTGTGATCGTCAATTCAAAAAGGCAAATTGAAATTCGAATTAAATGTTTGAAAATGAAAATTATGCAGAAAGGTGGTGCACGACGATCACTAAAAGTCAAAGTATGTTGAGCAAGTAAGATGTTGCTATTTAAAAATAAAAGAAATTTGACTTTTTAAACAAAAAGGAGAAACGTTTACCAATAAACCAAAAGTCGCTAGCGATAATTATTTTCATAAAAAAGTGCCTAACATTCCTTCTATTCGCCATGTCTTTGGGTCTCTAGGCTGTTATGCACAACTAATAAATGAAAATCGAAAACATTCAAACATCACTACAATAAATTAGATGTATACCGACAATACTATTCGTTGCTATATTTATTAACATTTCTGTAGATTGAGACATTACTAGTATTTGTACAACCAAAATGTTGTAGCTATGTTTCGTTCAAATAACATCAAACATTCACATGATCTCCTAAACTTTCCTTGTGCATTTTGCTGGTGTCGTTCTGATTCCTTGGGAGTTGGATTAATATGTAATTGTTTGCATGTTTCACAGTTTATATCGATGCATGAAGATACTATCGGTACCGTATAACAATGAAATGAATGTTAGTCTTTGGGGTTGAACCACATTATATAAGAATTTTTTGCCCCTTCACCAGTTTAACTGCTACTTCGAGTCTTCTAATTAATTTGAACTTCAAGGGTATTCTCTTAACTAATTTTCAAACCATTTAACTGGAATGTTCTTGGTAAATTTATTTTTGTCAAACGGTTTCTCATCTCGCATCCCCCTCTGTCAAAATCCAGTTTAATTTGCCGGTCTCCCTTCCTCTCTTCTTGGGTTTGAATTAGCTCTTTTTCTTGTGTAAACTCCTAATTATAAATTTAAGAAACCTCTCTGAAAAGAAGAATTAATTCCAACAAGGATTTGTTTTGTTTTATGTTGAAAAGCAAAAAAAAAATGAAACCAGCATGATTTAATTTTAGCTTTTTGAGCTGACTTCTTAAATGCAATTTTAAGGACAATGAATTCTCTTTAATGCAGGAAAATGGCCTGATGTTTGGGAAGTGAATGCGTATTGGCTCAGTCTAGTTTCCCTTTTTACCTAAAAGCAAGTTTCGTGTGTGGTGGCCGCCTGGCCCGTAGGGGACCATATCAGCCTCGTCACGTCCTCTATTGAGCTAAGCATGGTTCCAGGCCACTATTTGAATTTCAAATCCATACTATTCTAGTGTTCTACAGTAATGTATGTAGGATGAATTTCAAATTAACGAAATTTAAAAAGTTAGTTACTTCTTCCAGGCCAGACGTAATTTTTCTATTTTTATTAGGGTTCTAAATATTTTTATTAGAGTTCTAGAGTAATGTATAGGATACATTTCAAGTTAAAATGAAATTTAACTTATTAGTTCCTTCAGCCGCAATTTTTATCAGAGTTCTAAATGTTGGCCAAAAAATTAGGGTTTAAATTATTGACTGAATTAATATATGTAAACAGTAATTCCTTCTTCCTTTCTACATTTACATCAGGGAATTTTTTTTATCCATAGTTTTTCTTATCCTTAAAAAAGCATTTTTATTAAATTAAGAAAGAATTAGTAAGATTTTTTTTTTCCTTCTGTGTTATTTTAATGGTCATTAGTCGTGAAGTTTTTAGAAATTGATTTCCTAAAACAAAATTGCCAGCTGTAGAAATGTAAAAGTGAAACTACATTCTGTGGTCACTGTAAGTGGCAGTAAAAAGCTACAAAAAGTCAAATGGGTAGCACTACACAGCTATATGTTAGGCTGATCGATTAGACCCAGATGCCCTTCTCCGCCTACGCCTCCTTTGCCTGATTCTCCATATGCTTAGTAGCACTAGGACTCCTACAACACAAGCCCATCAAATCAAATTGAAAGCCGGCAGAGTTTGATACCATACTTGGGGAACAAGAATCCTATGTTATCATGCAATAAAAGTTTAAAGCAGACTTCGAGAGATACTGAAAAAAGTTGGGAATGTTACCACTAGCTGCAACACCAGCAGGTACTATCCAGCGAGTAGCAACCAGGAATGACATGTCAATCTGCAAAAAGAGAGCAGAATTATATAGATTTTTTAATAGTCCCTCCAAAATTGATTAACAAAAAAAACAAGAAGATGACACGAATTACCTCGTCCCTATTGAAAAGGCCTCCCAGATACTTGCTCCTGGAAGAACTAAGTTCACCTTGATCCTTAGCTGATTTCCAACGTGTTGGTCTTGTATTCTCCACTGTATTATTCAAGCCTTGTCCTAAATCAATGCCACGGTAACCAGGTAACCTACGGTTCCTTCCTCTGACGTGTAAGTTATACCCTTTAGTTCCCCATACTTCAAATCTGGAGTCGCTCTGACAGATTAGCTCCTTGCCGATCACAGAAGAGTATGTTGAAAAATTTACATCAGTTCTTCTAGAAGGCAGCAGGTTCTCGTCTGTGACTATGGGTGAATCTCTCTTAGAAAATTTTGAGAAAAGTACAGGGTCTTTAATGTTTGAACTGGTGAAATCTAGCATTTTCTTCAGGAGCCAGTAGCAGTTGGTGACCATGTGGCTACTGTCAAGGCAATTTGAGTCTCCATACACACCAATCCGGCCATCACCTATCTCTAGAAGCCCAAGAACAGCAGGGTCTTCCTGTAAAACAGAACCGCATTATCACCAAAAAAAAAACTCTGTAAATGGAAGGCACGGTTAGAAGCAGAGTGAAGTTGTGTCTCATTACCTTCGAGGACCCAGTTTGTAGTAGATTCTGTGTAGCGCCACTCTCAGAGCTGTCTAGTAAAGGAAAACTGTGCAAAAACCCACCAGCAGGAAACCTAGCTATGTTCGTTCCAGAAGCGTATCGACTCTGCTCACCGTCAATACTGAAATCCCCATTCAGAATCTTGTCTCCAAATGCAATTCCAAAAGATGCAAGGAGATTATTAAGTGCAGGGATATTTGCACCTCCAGTGATTGGAGTCCACCAACTGCGCGTGTTATCATCAAAGAATCTCATTTTCACCATGGTATCGACATTATACCACTCAGCGAACACAACCAGACCCAGTTTTGTATTGACAACGTCATATTTGAGTTTTTCAATTTCTTCTGGAAAGTATTCATCTTCAAGGTCAACCATCAAAAGCGTTCCATATTGCAGAGCATCGAAACATGTAAGGGGAGAACCAAGAGTCTCTATATAGTACCCAGCATCACGTAACATGTTGAACATGATGTGAAAATTTGTATGGAGGTGATCACCATGCCAATCAAGAATGTCATTGCGGACATCCAAAGAGTCTTTTGGAATATAACCTGGAGGATATTTAATGCTGTGAAACTGATCCCACAGAACACGTTTCGCTCTTGGTGGAGTGGGAATCACTTTCAGTTTCAACTGAAGAGAACAAGTAGTTCTTCTAGGTCCACTTTCTCCAGGGGCTGGTGGGCTGTATACTTTCACAGTTACATTGCCCTCTATTTCACCTGCGAACTGTGCACCTTCTTCCTTTATCTGCATGTGTAAAGCTAGATAGCCAGTCCAAGGCCATATGACATCTGGATACTTAAAGTGAATGCTCAGAAGATTTCCTTCTTCGTTTGCAGGATGCCATGTTGGTGGACTTTCAATATAGCCAATGACACCCATACCATTTAGAATTGTTGTGTTGAAAATAACAGGCATTGCACCTGCATATAGTGGCTGACGACAGAAGGGCCAGGAATATGGACAATCGCTATAATCAAGAATACTTGGGAAAATGCTTGCTCGGGGATTGTAGCTCTTCAAAATTTCATAGGACTGTAATCTGACAAAGAGTCAGAAAAATTAGACACTAAAAAAAGGAAGCAGGATCAAAATAAAAAGAAGGAATCAGATGGTGATTACTGATGTGGGTAAGTTAACTTACAGATCAACTCTTCCTGCACCCTGTTCATACATATTAGGACCTGAAAGCTTAGCAGAACCTTCGACCAATGCCTGCTTCATGCTTGCTGGGTTGAGCAGATCCTTCCTTCTAGCTTCAGGAATAACACTTACAAGCAGGCAAACGATACCAGCAACAACAGGACTGGCCACACTTGTTCCAGACAAGCTTTTACAACCAGTGCTGATCTTGGACCCCATAATGTCACGGCCATATGCAACAACATCTGGTTTGACACGGCCATATCTGTAAGATTTTATTAAAAGTTAAGGATTGTGTGCAACAAGTAATTTGTATCTCTACAAATTAGAGGGTTAAAGCAGCATACCCATGAGGAATTTCCCAAGTGCTCATGCCCCGAGATGAAAATGAAGCTATATGATCATCATAGTCAATACCACCCACGCCTATGACATCACTCTGGTCAGCTGGATTATTTAGCGTTCCGTAAAGTGGCCCATCATTCCCAATTGCAGACACCATAATGATATTGTTGGCTGTTATTTCCCACACCTGTTTGAAGATAATCAGCGACTCTAGAACACCCTACTGTTCATATATCCCAAAGAGAAACACCCCACCACTTGTCTCGACGGGATAATTCAAAATTCAAGCAAGAGATTAAGGAACCATTACCTTCTCTACAAAAGGCAGATCCAAGTAATCCGGTCCACCAATGCTCAAATTTAATACATCCATATTTGTTGCTATGGCATAGTTGAAAGCATCAAGAAACCATGAGGTGTATGATACCTGCAACAAGCTGAGCGGAAACTCCTCATAACCTATTTACTTAAGATAACTTGCATATCTGGTAAAGATGTAAGTGAGGAGTAAAGGTCAAGAGGTGCTAAAGAGAAAAGGAAGACATTCAAATATATAACCGTCAACTATACTGTTTTGAAGACAAAACAAAGATCAAGGTGCAGGTCTCTGTAACTAATATCAGTATCTAAGTAATTGTAACTATGGAAACACACAAACCGAAAATTAAATGCTCAGGAGTAACAGAAATCATTTATTTGAAGCAACGTTAAACCCCTTGCCACACACTAAGATGTATCTGTTACGTGGCCAAGCATTACCTGGCGGTCTGTGAAAACTCGGAAAGCATAAATCTCCGTGTCCGAAGCAAATCCAAGACATTCCGTATCTCGACCAGCAATAACACCAGCGACAAAGGTCCCATGCCCAAGGTTATCATTCAAAGTGTCTTCATTTGTCCAATTTGTACGCTCCTGAAAGTAACTGCGTCAATACCAGCTTCAGAGCTTTACAAGACAAGTACAAGATCAACGAAAACTATCAACTTTAAACACTACTACTAGTCTACTTCGGTGGTTTTATCATCACTTTCACACCAAATAAAGGTACCTTGATATTACGGAAATGAGGATGGTCAGCTCTTATCCCAGTATCAAAAATTGCCATTTTGACATTAGCACCAGTATACCCCTTCTTCCAGAGAACATCTGCTCCAAACAGTGACGTCACTTGAGTCTTCTGCAAAGTAAATATCTATATTAAAAAAAATGTAACTTGTAAAAGAATTAACTTCCAATGACTTAAAACAATCTCTCACCTGAGCAAGAAGATGTCTACTCCACTTCAACGCGGTGTCATTCAAAGAGTGATCATCTCCTTCTTCAAAAGACATGGAAGTAAAGATCTTCCCGGGACGTTTCTCTCCGTCCTCAAAAGATCCACCAAGCAACACTCTCTGATACCTAAACTCCACGTTAACGTCTCTCACCATCTCCAGCCTCTCGATCTCTCCAACCACTGCCTCTCTCGTTCTCTCCTCGATCCATAGGACGCCAAAGTCCGTCGGATACTTCGCCGCCGCGTTATCCCTCTCGATCCACCCCCAACCGCCGGATCGGAGCTCCGATTCGAGGTAAATCCGATGCGTTTCCGCAGGCTTGTAGTGCTTAAATCGGATTATGTAGTTTGAATCAGGAGGAGTTAGGTTTTGAGGGTTGAGATTCTGTTGGTGGAGACGGAGCCAGAAGATGATAACGGAGATGGAGATGACGAGGAGAGAGGATCTGTAGAGAGCTCCTTCAAGCACTTTCATGGCGATGGTTGAAATTAGGGTTTGATAGCGAAGCTACAATGATGTGAATGAGAGTAGTGTTGATGGAAGAAGTGACTTTTTTTTTAAACCGGCTGGTTTGGTTTAGCTTAAGGAGATTAAACCGATTGGTAATTGTATTGGTAATCGTATCGATTTTGTTCGGTACGACCCCAATTTTGTTGGTTTCAGCTCCATTTATTAACAACTAGGGATTTTATCCGGGCTACGCCCGGGTTTAGATAAATATAAATGTATTTAAAATCTATTAAATAAAAATTGAAAAACTATTTCGTAGGAGATTTGTTAAAAATTAGTCCTTTATTTATTTTTAAAAATTTCACGCTTATAGTTATATTAATTGACTAAACTATACAATCTGACATTTTATTTATTTTCGTTTTAAAACAATACTATTAATATATGCAATAACACAATATATCTTTCATGTTTTTATTTTTCAAGTAATATATAATTTCTTTGTTCTGGTTATTTTATTTTTAACTAAAATAAAATCAAACGCTAGTTTTAAATTTCAATAACTCCAAACTTTAAATGGAAATCCTCTTATAACAAAACAAAACCTCAAATTAAGAAATTAACCAAAGCTCCCTTCTCTTTCTTCCTTTCTCTCTCTCTATTATCTATATATAAATTTAATTTTGGTTTTTGTTTTAGTTATTTAACCAATTCTATAACTTTAAACTAACCTAATAAAAAAAATCAGTATGAAAGGCTAGCAAAAATAATAATAATAGTAAGTTGAATAGTTGAGAAAAAAAAACTCAAAATCAAGACTCTTTATACTCTAAATTAGAATGTAACAAAATTTGTTATAAGATATTGACTTAAAAGAAAAAGCTAGATAGACCGTATAATATGTATGAGGGTATGAATTATGCTTGCAAAGTGTGTAAGTTCTATGTTTATGTAAATTTTATTTTCTTAAGGATGTGGACTCTTAAAACATTTTATAAAATTTATCTATTTGTCATTTGAAATGATTTATTTGTATATATCTTATATATATGTTTATCTCAAAATATAATTAAGTTAAATTTGAATTTAGTTTTTAATTTGTTAATTTGAAAGCAAATAAGGATACAATGTTATGGAACTTATAAGAATTGGTATCTATAGTACTTATTTTATCTTTTACTTTGCCTCAATGTCTGTAGAAATATCACACGATTATACCATACGAAGATGAGATTAAATTTAGAGCCTGTTGTGATAAACAATAAGGTTAAAGGAAAGGGATTTGTGATATATATAGACAACTTCAGAATCTCCAATGTTCCAAGTGTCAACAGCTTCTTTCTTAAACCTGGTCTTTAATTGTTGGTACAATTCAAACATTTTAAACCAAACCGGATCGTGTAACAAAATAAATAATGCCAACCATCAAAGCAACATTGCTGAAAATGAGAAACCAACAAAAAAATCTCAGATAATCTTTGCCCAACAAAAGACAAAAAGTAACAAAGAGGCACACCAAACACCATCAAAGTTCCAACTTCAAGAACATGGGGACAGCACTTTATAGAGGAAGATGAAGTGGAAAAAAAGCTCAAACAACTTCATCCAACCTCTGATTCTCTTTCTGACTCTTCTGCTTTCTTAAGAACTTGATCCCAATCACTACCAGAACTCATGTCAAGATAATCATAAGGAAAGGAAGCACACTATAACGGCTCTCAACAATGTATCTGCTCAGGTTCTCCTGTGTATACATTAACGTCAACATTGAGCCACACCAAAATATTAAAATTACCAGCTTAACCCATCTCTCCTTTGTTACATAAACATAAACGTGTAATCCTTCGAGTTAAACCCCATCCCAACGTTATAATCAAAGAACTCTTCGACTAACAGTTCTGATCATAACATATAGATCAGGGTCTGCAACTCGTCCAAGCTGTATTGCTTGTCATGCACACAATCATTATCACTCTGTTAGCGTGTATGCGGCTAAGAAAAAATAAAGAGTAATGTTAGATTACCATAGAAAGAGGTTTTCATCTCTACTCATTTGAGCCATAAGTGAAACCATCTCTGCAATGAAATCAAAGCATCCCTTTCATCAGTAAAAAAATAGAATTAGAATATGCGATCAACAAAACTGTCAACAACATTTTCAAATCGATACTAATGTATCTGTACCTTCTCTTCTTGAGTACCATAGAGTATCTCATCGTAAAAAATTGGTAACCGCCATGACCTATATATATGTTTATCATTTAAAAATGGACTTTAACACAGGAGCATTACGCAAAAAATAATGTATAGAAACTTATAAAGCTTTCAGCATGTACGAAACAACTGATGACATATAAAATCGCAGAACTTAACTATTTTATTGGACCAATCGCCATCACTGATAGACAGAGGTAGCACTTACCTGAGCACGCCTTGAAGATCAACTTTTCAGTTAAGTCAGCTATCACTCTTGCACTTAGTCTACCATCACATCAGTCATCACCTTTCTAATAAGCATTATCTGCATTTATCTATATTTCTTTTGTCATTTATCATATCTTCTTGATAGCGATACGGATATGAAACAATTTGATTACCATACCGTTGGGTCAATATAATTGGCAACGAACTCATAATGGACAGTTAAACTTTGGTCCTCTTTTCAGGTGACTGAGAAGGAATTTCAGTTGGTGAGGCGTCAGGCCTATCCGTTGAAACCCTTGAGAATTGGACGCTCTTGGAGAGGTGCTGTTAGTTGATTAATTTCTTGTGGTCAACAACATCTAAAGCATAAACAAACAATTTTGACACATATTAAACAGTGACAAAATAAATAACAGACTCATGTTGGAGTTAAAGCTAAATTCGGTATGCCACTTAACATATTAGAGTTGTTGATATCTAACGCACTGCATGGCTCGCCGTTCAAATCCTTGAACTAAAACCAATATCTCCACCAATATTATTAATAATTACCAAAAGTTTTTGGAATCAGAAGAGAATGATTATTGAGGCATACATATAACAACAATAGCTTTAACATAGTTCCTGCTCAAGACTTCCTCGTAATTACTCTTGAGGTATAACACTGTACACAAAACAGAGTATCATAAACTTATTTTGCTAAACTAAGAGAGATATGAGATCAAACAAATCCTAACCCCAATTTCACATGATCCAGATTTACATGATAATAATCAAACGCTGAGATCGATCAGATTCACATGATAAGTATCAATCGCTGAGATTGAATTAAATTTGAGAAGGTAGTTCGTACCGTCAAATGATAGCGAATTGACGGGAGGACTGATGAGAGTTATGACGGCAACGTCATCGGCGCCAACTTCCATCGTCGTCGTCCCTTTCGTTCGTGAAACCATTGGTTTCTTCTTTCTCTACGATCTTCTTCGGTGAGATTGCAACTCGAAACTCAGAATTAAACCGAATACTAACTGAGAACAAAAATTTATCAGGTTTGGTGGAGGAAATACATAGATGGATTAGAAGAAGGGAGGAAAAGGAAGAAGAAGCGACGAAGAAGGAGAAGAAGAGGAGTGTCTAATCTTTTCTAGGGCTTGTGACAGATAAAACTCTAAGAGCATGTACATCAATGAACCCCTCTTGGGGTTCATCTTTTTAATATTTTATTATTTTATTTTTGTCTGTCAGATTTTTTTTTTTAAAAAAAAACAAAAAAAAATTAATTGAACCAATCCCCTTCTGACACGTGGTGAACTCCACCCTCTTGGGGTTCATCGGGATGAATTTTTGGAGAGAGAAGTTCATCACTGTTCATCTAGAAAATTGTGTGAACCTCCTTATAAACTCCTTATGAACCCTGAATGCACATGCTCTAATGGGCCAGAACAACTGAAAAAAAATATATATTCTAAGCCCACTCGAAACCAATGGATTTGCTTACGTGGCCACAAAATGATTCTCTATTGGAGGAATATAATTGCTGACGTGGCAGCTGGAGGGGGAAGTATATCTAGCTTTTAGTATAGTATAGATTGCTCGAGTTAATTAGAATTTAGTATGGTTTGATTTGGTGCGGTTTAACTTGGTTTGTCTTTTAAAAAACTGGCTGGTTGGTTTAGCTTAACGAGATTAAATCGACTGGTTTAAATTGTATTGGTAATCGTATCGATTTGGTTCGGTACAACCCAAGTATTGTTTCTTTCCAGCTCCATTTATTAACAATTGCTCGAGTTAATTAGAATTTAGTATGGTTTGATTTGGTTCGGTTTGGCTTGGTTTTTTTTTTTTAACCGGCTGGTTGGTGTAGCTTAAGGAGATTAAATCGTCTGGTTTAAATTATATTGGTAATGGTATCGATTTGGTTCGGTACAACCCGAATTTTGTTTCTTTTCAGCTCCATAAATTTAAACAATTACTCGAATTATTAGAATTTAGTATGGTTTGATCTGGTTCGGTTTGGTTTGGTTTGGTTTTTTGTTCGGCCAATGTTTGTCGTTTTGTTGTCACCGGAGGCATCCGTTATAACTTATAAATCGTGGAGTCAAAGGTCGTCAAAGAGGAGAAGAAGATCACTACACTTGGATCGGAGGGCTTCTTCCTTTCTCTTTGACTCCATTAACTGTTCTCTATGTCCTTTCTAGTTCAAGGTTTGTTGAGTTTTCTTTCCCTTTTTAGTAACTTCCCGACAAAAGTTTTCAGTTTACTATGAGTTGACCAAGTACGTTTTTTTTTTCCTTGATTGTGTCGGTAGGATAAGTTTCTGAAGGTCGGTTGTTAAAGACACGAACTTGACGGTTTTGAATCTGTGTAAATTCATCTGATGGAGATTAGATCTGAGCTCCGGAAACTTTCTCGAAGTGGAAAGCCGACATGGGCTGTTCTGGTTGCGGTTCTGGCTCTTACTCATGTCTTATTGTTACTTTCATATGGAAGATATCTGTTGCCTGATGGAAGAAGGCTTAAACTGCCCAATGAGCACAATGCGTTGATGACTCCATCGCAAAACGCTCTTCTTAGGAACACACTTGCGGTCAACGTTTCTGCGGCTCCTATAGGGTTAGAGAATAATGGTTCTGGTCTAAGGAATGGGCCAGAGGATGATGAAGGGTTTGTTGACAGTGTTGATTTTGAGAGCTTTGAAGATGTGAATGATAGTGTCATCGTTAAAGAAGTTACCGGAGGCAATGAAAGTGACAGTCTTTTCCCTTCAGAGAAGTTTGTGATGGAGAATGTGTCGTTGCAAAGTCAGAAGAGCGTGAAGATCTCTGTTTTGAGTGGAGGCTCCTCCATAGCTGCTCCTGTTTTGGATAATAGTTCCTTGATTGTTACTAAGAAAGTGAGTAAGACGAAGAAGAAGATGCGGTGTGATCTTCCACCAAAAACTGTGACTACAATAGATGAGATGAATCGTACTTTAACAAGGCACCGTAGATCTTCACGTGCAATGGTATGTGTGAAGCTTCTCCTTCTAGTTTTTTATTTATTTTAGTATGCTGCTGAGTAAATACTGCTTCTTCCAATGTAGCGACCGCGTTGGTCTTCTAGGAGAGATGAGGAGATATTGTCTGCAAGAAAGGAGATAGAGAATGCTCCTGTTGTAACAATTGATAGGGAACTCTACCCTCCAATATTCCGTAATGTTTCCATGTTTAAGAGGTAAAATTTGCAGAACTTTGACTGAATTATAAGTTAAGTTTTGCTAGTTAATAAAAAGAGTAATGGTATATGAACAAATGTAATGTTGTTAGTCTTATGTAGATGAAAACTTAGTACTACTCATACTGTAAAATCCGTATCATATGGTTCTATACTCTGATAATATGATCTGTTTAGTTCATATGTAGAGTATGTTCAGTACAACCTAATCTGTTTTGTAGTGCTTTTTTTTTGTAAAAGGTAATCTTGACATACTCGATTCAGTTATGTCTCAGGAGTTACGAACTTATGGAAAGGATACTCAAGGTGTATGTATATAAAGAAGGAAACCGCCCTTTTTTCCATACTCCAATACTCAAGGGATTGTATGCATCAGAGGGATGGTTCATGAAGTTGATGGAAGGAAACAAGCGTTACACTGTAAAGGACCCAAGAAGAGCTCACTTGTACTACATGCCATTTAGTGCACGGATGCTAGAATACACTCTGTACGTGCGTAACTCTCACAACCGAACTAACCTACGCCAGTTTCTCAAGGAATACACTGAACACATCAGCTCCAAGTACCCTTTCTTTAACAGAACAGGTGGAGCTGATCATTTTCTTGTCGCCTGTCATGATTGGGTATGCACCTTCTCCTATGATTGAACTAGTTATTTCGCCATTGGGTAACTTTAACTTGGGTTCCACTAAACAGGCACCATATGAGACGAGGCACCACATGGAGCATTGCATTAAAGCTCTATGCAATGCAGACGTAACCGCAGGGTTCAAGATAGGAAGAGACATCTCACTCCCTGAAACATATGTCCGAGCAGCCAAAAACCCGCTTCGTGATTTAGGTGGGAAACCTCCCTCTCAGAGACGGATCCTGGCCTTCTACGCCGGAAGCATGCACGGTTACTTACGTACCATTCTACTACAGCACTGGAAAGACAAAGACCCGGACATGAGGATCTACGGTCGGATGCCACTTGGTGTGGCGAGCAAGATGAACTACATAGACCAGATGAAAAGCAGCAAGTTCTGCCTTTGTCCTAAAGGTTACGAGGTGAACAGTCCCAGGGTGGTTGAGTCTATTTTCTATGAGTGTGTCCCTGTGATAATATCAGACAACTTTGTGCCACCTTTCTTTGAGGTTCTTGATTGGAGTGCGTTCTCGGTCATTGTTGCGGAGAAAGACATCCCTAGGTTGAAAGACATTTTGATGTCTATACCGGAAGAGAAGTATGTAAAGATGCAAATGGCGGTGAGAAAGGCGCAAAGGCATTTTCTGTGGCATGCTAAACCTGAGAGATATGATCTGTTTCATATGGTGTTGCATTCTATTTGGTATAACAGAGTGTTCCAAGCTAAACGTAGATGATATGGTTGTATGAGTTAGTATTCTAATGTACTTGTCTTGTCTGTTGTGTGAGTAGGAATAGCTACAGTGTTGATTCTGCCTTTGTAAAGATTATTTTGTTACAAGATGTATGTTTCTATGCTAATAAAATGGCTAGACTATGTATGTTACCGGCTCCATTGGTTTGAAAGATGTATGTTTCTATGCTAGGATAATGGTGTTTACTGTTTAGTCTCCATTGGTTTTAAGCCATGTTAGGAGCCGCGACTAGTGGGTTCTAGTAAAGAAAATAGAAAATTACATGGAGTAGAATTTTTAGATTCCAGTATGTTATAAAACATGTTAATCTATTAATAATAACAATCACTATTAATGTTGAAACATTGTGTCTTTTCAATTATGTAACTATTAGAAACAATTATCATGAAAGATTGTGTTTTTTAATTTGTCTTTTCATCTTAAAATATATATATATACATATATATATTTAAAATCTCATTAATGTGAAAGGTTATGTTTCCAGTATATAACTATTACAGATGATTGTGGAAAAATGTTTGGAAGTATCTTTTCATAATATGAATTGATTTTTACAATAGATTATAGTAAACTATAATTAAAAAAAAAAATTGTAATGATATGTCTCTTCAAAATATATTGTAAAAATGTCACTTTAAAATAATTACCAATAATCTGAAAAGTCATAACATTTCATGTCTAATTTTTTTTTTTTTGAATCAAAATGTTAAATTTATAACTAAAAAAAAGACCTTTTACAAGTGTTTTTGAACATAGAAAGCACTGCTTACAAAACATGGTATAAACGAAAAAAATACAGAGTCTTCTCTTTTACTTCTCTTCCAAGCAAAACTCAATGCTCATTTCTTCAATCTTTTCCAACACAAACCAACTCAGCACTCACTCCTACTGAGTACCTAGCTCTCACTCCTACTAGGCTTTTCCAAATCCCAACTCTCACTCCTACTGAGATCCGAGCTCTCACTCCTATTGGATTTAGAACAAGACAAACTCGATTGATTGGATAAAAAAATCCAAAACCTCAGAAACCCTTAACTCTTTTAATCTCCTCTAGTACTAAACCAGAACCTCATCCCTTCGCTTAACCCTCTGTCACCTTTTCTCTGCAGAATAGTAAATTTATTACGCATGTTCTTATCAATTTTCCTGATCAAAATCTCAGGAGGACAAGCTACCTCACCATGTCTTCGTCTATTCCTTTCGCACCAAATCGCATGAAGCATTGACTGGAAAATGTATTTAACTGTAAAGGACTGAACATTACTCCAGCTATATTCCCCTGTCATGAGCCTTAACAGCCTACACCAATCGTCGTGTAATGATCTCCCATCACCCCTCTCATTAACGACCTCCAGACTTGACCAGAGTACATACAATCAAAGAACAGATGATGCAAAGTTTCAACCAGCTCCTGACAAAGTACACATGAAACATTAATATTCCCATGCCAGCTTCTCATCCTTTCCCCTGTTGAGAGTCTTCCACGCATTGCCACCCACGTGATAAAAGAATATCTCGGGGTTGAATGTTTGAACCATACTGCCTTATACCAGTGATAGAGCAAAGATTTTTCTCGAATGTTTAATTTTATCTATATACATTTAATTTGGTTTCTTGTTATTTTTTAAATTTATATACTGATTTATATATTTGAAAACCATGATAAAGATAGACTTTAATGATGAACCATCACAACAATAAAATATATATTGTCATAAATCACAGTCTACAATTTATTATGTAGTAATAGGTAGGGGTGGGCGTTCGGGTACCCATTCGGGTTCGGTTCGGATCTATTCGGATTTCGGATTTCGGGTTCACAAATTTTAGCCCCATTCGGATATTTCTAAATTTCGGTTCGGGTTCGGTTCGGATCTTTGCGGGTTCGGTTCGGGTTCGGATAACCCATTTAAATTATTTTTAAAATTTTAAAATTTTAAAATTGATTATATACTTTAGATTTCTAAAAATCTATAAAATAAAATAATATTTTACAAATAATTAAATAACATAAGTCAAAATATCTAAAAGTAACATATAAATTAGTTTGATTTGAATATTTGGATTGTGAATCAATAATTTTTAAAAATATTTTTGATGTTTTGAGTGCACTTTAGCAATTTTAGACATGTATGTTAGACTATTTACATATATTTACAAGTATTTTGAACAATTTTAAAGTATTTTATATATAGTGAATGTTTTTTATATACATTACATCTAAAAATAATTAATATATATAGGTATATAAATCTCTTTCGGATATATTCGGGTACCCGAAATACTTCGGTTCGGGTCGGGTTCGGTTTCGGTTCTTTAAATACCAAAATTTTAAACCCATTCGGATATTGAATCAATTTCGGTTCGGGTTCGATACTACTTTTTCGGATCGGATTCGGTTCGGTTCTTCGGATCCAGGTTTTTTGCCCAGCCCTAGTAATAGGATTAGAGTTGAAGTATGAAATTCAACTTTGAAATATTTTATTCTTATTATTTTTACAATAATTAATTCTGATGAATATCCACCTTAAAAATCACAACACCATCATTGATATTATGTGATGATACTTGGGAAGGCCAGATAATTTTATATTCTTTCAAATTATGTAATGTTATATCAAAGTCTGCTTCTTAATTTCTAAACATGTAATTTTGGAAAGTTTTTCTTTTACAGAAGATTAAAATAATCAATAAAAATAAAAATGTGTTAGTGATAGATATGCTAAAAAGAATACATAAGAGATCAGATGTCTTAAAATTACAATATAATCATGTTTTCGACCACACACTCTTACATGGTTTCAAACCAATCATATTGAACCTGTTGTTATAAGTTATCGTACTAATTTAATATTTGACTAGATTGAAATGTGTTTGCATTTCAAGTAGTTTTGAATGCTAACAATAAAATAGTTTCAAATATTCAGTTTTTTACAAAATTTTAACTAACTTATGAAAACATATTTCTAAACAACATATAGATTTTTAATAATGCAATAAAGAAATATAGTTGTATGCAAGATAATTTTGTAACATATGTATTTTTTTTCAAAAGAAACTGTAAGCAATTTTATATTTTTATATGACATACTATTTTCTTAAAATGAGTTTTTGTACGATATCACACGGTTTTTTTTACCTAGTAATATGATTAATTATAAACTTGTTTGTGATTAATCCCAAGTGTTTCAAATTATTTGTTGGTAAATGTTTTGTTTCAAGTCAACTCATACTTAACTCCTCTGTTTCGTCCTAGCATGTTTGTCTCTATTGACAATTTGTTCCTCTGCTTTCTTTGAGAAACTCCTACTTGTACCAGAAACTCTTCCTCCTCTGCAGCCTCCATGGAAGCAACCTCTGAAATAACTGCCCCTTGCACTTAGTCTTATTGAACTGTCAAATACTGTCACTTGGACACACACTCAAAACAGTGAGAGTACACAGTGACATGACACCTGAGTACAAGCTTCACCACCAACAAAACACTATGTATGAAAAAAATATATATATCAAGAAGCTTTATTTCCCACCAAACTCGTTGAAGACACGTTGAAATTCCATTATATTTCTTGTTGGATAAACATAAAATAATCATTGGCAATTGATTGCTTATGTTGATAGCTTTATAAAAAGAAAGAAAAACCAATCTTCCCTTGTCAAAAAAAGAAAATGGAAATTCTCACTGCTACTATCTTCTTCTCTCTCACAGTCACAGCTACTATTATTATCTTCATGGCCAGATACCTTTGGAGTCAAAACTCCAAGTTACCACCAAGCCCTAGCTGGTGTCTTCCCATCATCGGCCATCTTCACCTGAGGAAGAAGCATCATTTACCACAAGCTCTACAACACCTCTCTTCAATCCACGGCCCTGTTCTCTTCCTCAAATTCGGATGCCGTCCCGTTCTTGTCCTCTCTTCCCCAGAATCCATCGAAGAGTGCTTCACAAACCACGACCAAACCCTAGCGAACCGCCCCAGGACCATCACATCTGATCACTTCGGCTACGGCTACAAGAACTTTGGACTCGCTCCTTATGGAGATATCTGGAGAACCCTCCGTCGTATCTCCACCCTCGAGGTCTTCTCCTCCACAGCTCTCCAGAAGAGCTCTTTTATCCGTAACGAAGAAGTCTTGAATCTCTGTTCCAGACTCTTCAGATCATCCATGGACTCTGCTCAGAAAGTGGATCTTAATTATCATTTCATTCTTCTCACTGCGCAAGCCATGCTGAGGTTAGTCTCTGGGACTCGGGGCGGCGTTGAAGAGAGCGATGAGAAGAATTTCTTGGATGATTTCAAGTTGAGGTTCTTCGCGAGCATAGCGATGAACGTCTGCGATTTTCTGCCAGTGTTGAGGTGGATTGGGTACAAAGGTATTGAGAAGAGAGTGATGGAGATACAGAGGATGAGAGATGAGTATCTCCAACGTATCATTGACGATGTTCGAGTTCGAATGATGGAAAATAATTCCACCGATTGTGTACTGGAGAAATTCTTACGACTTCAAGAAACAGAACCAGAGTTCTACTCAGATGACGTCATCAAAGGACTCGTAGTCCTTTTGTTCAACGGGGGAACTGATACTTCACCGGCGGTGATGGAATGGGCAATGTCGGTTTTACTCAACCATCCTGATAAGCTTGAGAAGCTCAGAGAAGAAATCAGATGTAATGTTAAGCATGAAGGGAGGATTATACAAGACTCTGATCTCTCCAGCTTACCTTATCTTCGGTGTGTCATCTATGAGACGCTCAGGCTATACCCTTTAGCTCCACTCTTGCTTCCTCACTGCTCATCAAAGAAATTCAAATTAGGCAACTACGAGATTCCGGAAAACACTATGTTGTTCGTTAATGTTTGGGCTGTTCATAGGGACGGTGAGCTTTGGGAAGACGCTGATGTCTTCAAGCCTGAGAGATTTGAAGGGTTTGTTGGCGAGAGAGATGGTTTTAGGTTCTTGCCGTTTGGATTAGGGAGGAGAGCATGTCCTGGAACTGCACTTGGAATGAGGACAGTGGCGCTTGCTGTTGGAGCTTTGGTTCAGTGTTTTGAGTGGAAGAAGGTTGATGAAGGAGATATTGATATGACCCCTGTCTTTGGTGTGTCAATGACTAAGGCTGAGCCGCTTCTTGCATTGCCTAAGCCTTGGCCTCATATGGTTCCTATCTTGTCTCAGCTCTAGTCTCTCTCATCTGTGTTTTTCTATCTACAGATCTACAATAAGGAGATTGAATAATGATAATCATAAATATCACAAATGGTTACCCTCTTAAGCCTTTTCATTTGTAAAGACAGGTTTCCTGAAGATCAGACTAACTTCAAACTCACCAAGTCATTACTCAATCAATTTGATTTACTTTCCAAGAAGACTAAGAACAAAGGGAAAGGCCTAAGCTTGTACACACTGTCTCCTAGTATTTATAATAGCAAACTTAGGAATTGAAATTTTAAATTTAATAAATTTCCGTTGCTGCGAAGCTTGCTCTCATCTTTTCCAAAATCTCTTCACTCCATACGGTCCCTACGGGTTTAGATTATGTGGAGTGGTTTCTGACGCTAGTTCATCGTCCTTATGTGTTGGTTGTTTCCTAGCTTGCTCTCATCATACTCTCATGTGTTAAGAAACTTGATTTGTTTTGTTTTGACTTTTAGGAAGACAGCAATCACGGATTAAGAAACTTTAATATATGACTAGATTTTGAACCCGCACATCCGTGCGGGTAATTTTTCATTTTATAAAAATATAACAAAATCTTTCAGATATATCATTTACATTTTATTTTTATATTGTATAACTATAGAATCTTATTATTTTAATTATTTTATATAATATATTGTTGGTCATTTTAAAAAAATATCAAATATATTTTTTTAGATAATGTATTTGTTGTGAATTACAAAAATATATGTCAACATTTTTTGTATAAAAATATTACATGATTTTAAAAAATTAATATGTTTTAACAGTGAATAAAAGAAAATTTTAAAATAAAATATTTTTATTTACCAATTTAATATATTTTTATATTAATTTCACATAGCATTTTATTG